CAATATACGAGCCATACGGTTTTACTTACAAAAGGAAACATATACTGGACTTGCACTCAGCTATGTAATTCACTTAAAAGTAGCATTTTAGGAGAATTACTTTACATTTCAGAATAAATGTTAATTACATGCATAAGGAAATGCCACAAGGACTAATAACACTCTAACTGATGTGAACCTTATTATAAGGAGATTTGAAGTAGAATTTATTTACTCCACGTGCTGCATTCAGTAGCTTGTCCTACTAATGGTGTTTGTCTTATCAAGAAAGATAACCTCATGGATTTGGAATGTTTTATTACCTACATGAATTTCATCTATTAGTGTCATGTTTCTGTTAGTTTTAGCTCTGCTAACATACTTAAGATATTCCTGTAAAGAACAGAATGGGTAGTTTATCAATTACAATGCGTAGAAAGAAAAATTACCCCCCAAATGGCAGGCTGTTAACATCTTTATCGTTTGAAGAAAGCCTCCATTATAGATGATTTATATAAGGAGAATTGCCTCAGGAAGCAGAGAAACAGCTGAGGGATGCTTAGAAAAGGGGAATGGAGAATCAGTGGAGAAACTGATGAAAAAAATCTTTAAACATCAGAGCATGTATCCTTGCCAAAAACAGGGTAGGAGAAGAAAAATAAATAATCAGTGCTTTATATTATGTAATACTCTATAGTCTATATTTGAGTTGGCAGTGGGTCTATAGTTGTTATGTAACTGTTTATCTACACAACAGGTGGAATCTGACCATCAGCGTCACATACTACCCAACACAGATCCATGGCATCCACCCTTGGGTGAGAGAGATTGGTCTTGATGTCTATATCAGAGGTAGAGAACCTTTTTTGGGTTGGAGGCCGCTGACCCATAAAAAAAAATCAGTCGGGGGCTGCACACAAGTGGGGAAAAAAAATGGAGAAGGAGAAAGATACTCCACACATTCCCATCGCACACCAGAGCCTAAGGGAGTCCAGGCTAGTGGATTTTGTATGCTTCAGTCCTACAGGGAGGCAATGGGCGGCTGAAGCATCACTGGAAGCTCCCCAGTGCTGGTAGGGGTGGGGAGTCCTGAAGCTCTGAGCTTTTGGGGCCAGATCCAGGCAAGCCAGGGACCACATCCAGCCCCCGGGCCTTAGGTTCCCAACCCCTGGTCTATACAATCCTGAACTTTTCTGCTGAGCCTATGAAAAATAATCACATTTCCACTCAGAACCAGGCTGGGACCATCAACTCAGTAGACACAAGTCAGCAAAAGGAAAAGAGGATAGTTTTCATACCCAGGACTCAGAATTGAGTGGGTTTGTATCCCATGACCAGTCCTCTAAGTAATCCAATCCTCTATGCATAGTGTTCAGTGAATCTTATTATGGGGAGATTTTCATTAACATAAAATTCTTCTTCTAATTTCAGATGCCTTTTTGTATCCTGAGAGACATGAAGCTGAGAAACAAAAGCAAGCATCTAGATTTAATTTCCTAAGTCCCCCAAAATTTACTGGGTATCTCGATTTGCTCAGACATGTCTTTAGCTCCATCTTCACAGATCCAAGCTTTTCCAGGACCAGAGAATGTTCCACGTGGCAGTTGCAGTGCAGGTGGATTGTGTTAAGTGCCTATCATCCCTGAACAGAAAGGAGGGTGCAAGTAAAAAACAAGTCCATCTGTGAGTCAAATTATAGAGGAGATTAAGTGCCCCCGTGGACATTGTTATGTGGGTAAAGATACAAAGCTTTTCAGAGAGTGCTTTTCACCAAAACACTCTGCATGGGGGGCTTGGATTGCTTAGAGGACTGGTCATGAGATACAAACCCATTCAGCTCTAGGTCATGGGTATGAAAACTATTCTCTTTTTCTTTTTCTCATGTGGGTAGACTGAATTGATGGTCCCAGCCTGGTTCCAAATGGACGTGTGCTCAGATTACAATGGTTATTGTTTGGTAGGCTCAGCAGAAAAACTCAGGACCAGCCTACCCTTTTGCCCGAGGATGGATGCCATTATCTGTGTTGGGAAATGTGTGATGTTCATGCTCAGACTCTGCCTGTTGTGTAGATAAACAGAAAAACATCAGTCTCCTTGTCTGTCCGTTCATCTCCTTTCAGAGAACACTCCTTTCACTTCAAGCCCATTGTCAACTCAAATGCACAGTATTAAAGTAATGCATATGCAAGAGCTGTAGCTCATGTTACATTTGTGTATATCTTTGGTTTTATTCATTTTAAAAGAGGCAAATAAAATCCCAGGATGGTGCTTTGAAGACTCTTGTAAATATAGGAAGAAGAGGTGTGAGGAGCAATGATGAACAGCAATAGAGGAAAGATGGCAAACGAATAACCCAGCTCATGTTGTATTTGCATATTTGGGGAGATGACAAGAGTCCAAAGGTTAAGACAGATGAATAGTGCAGATTCAGGACAGAGATTAGTAATCTTCCTGAGGTGGAAGTCAGTCCTGAACCACTTCCATACTTATTCTATATGCATATTAATGAAGCCAGGTGGGGTATGTCTACACTACCCTCCTAGTTCGAACTAGGAGGGTAGTGTAGACATACCCCACCTGGCTTCATTAATATGCATATAGAATAAGTATGGAAGTGGTTCAGGACTGACTTCCACCTCAGGAAGATTACTAATCTCTGTCCTGAATCTGCACTATTCATCTGTCTTAACCTTTGGACTCTTGTCATCTCCCCAAATATGCAAATACAACATGAGCTGGGTTATTCGTTTGCCATCTTTCCTCTATTGCTGTTCATCATTGCTCCTCACACCTCTTCTTCCTATGTGTAACCCTTCTGCCAAGTAGTGCCAGCAGCAGACAGGGATGGGTTCAATAACTAGGAGTTCTTCTACATCCATCCATCACTGAACTGGATCGAGCTCCCACCCAGTAACCTGGGAATTTCACACAACACCCCTGGGCACCTCTGGAAAGCAATGCTCCCCACTTGCAACTTAAAGTCTGAGTGTAGAAAAAAAAACTTTTAATAAAAGGGGAGAGAAGTTATGTGGCATTAATTGGAGAAACCACCAAAGACAGGGTTCATAACCAAAACCACGAGTAAACCTCCCAGCTCAAGTAGGTTGGGCAATGTCCTTTTCTCCTCCAGCTCTCAAGTGCAGCAATGTAAATGTTCCCTTTACATGCCCAACCCTTCTCTGAATCCCACTTATAGTTGCTGCCCGGGGTCAGGGCAGACCAGAGTTCAGAGGTGATCTGTAGAGTTCACCTCCCATCCTGAGTGTGGGAGGCATCTCACCCATTCTGCTGGTCACTTGCCATCTGCCTGTTTGCTGCTTTCTGGTGCTGCTCTGCTGGCCATTCATCACCCCTCTCTGCCACCGCTCGGTTGGCTGCTCCTCACACCTCTCCATCAGTCACTCCTCTCTGTCGCCACTCTGCTGGCTGCTCCTCACGCCTCCCCCTCGGTCACCCCTCTCTGCCACCGCTCTGCTGGCTGCTCCTCACGCCTCTCCATCAGTCACCTCTCTCGCCACCGCTCTGCTGGCTGCTCCTCACGCCTCTCCATCAGTCACCTCTCTCGCCACCGCTCTGCTGGCTGCTCCTCACGCCTCTCCATCAGTCACCTCTCTCGCCACCGCTCTGCTGGCTGCTCCTCACGCCTCTCCATCAGTCACCTCTCTCGCCACCGCTCTGCTGGCTGCTCCTCACGCCTCTCCATCAGTCACCTCTCTCGCCACCGCTCTGCTGGCTGCTCCTCACGCCTCCCCATCGGTCACCCCTCTCTGCCACCGCTCTGCTGGCTGCTCATTGTATCTTCGGCTGGCTTATGGTAGTTATGGCTTTGGGCCAAACCTAGTGATTTCAGCTCGCAGTGATTTCAGCTCTTGGCCCAAAGCACAGTCCAGCCACAAGAGATTCCAGCATCCACTGAAGTAAATTTAAATATAAAAGAGACTCCTTATAGAGCCTTTCTTTAACTCTATAATTGAAACAGTGGAGAGAAACAGGTTGAACCAGTCTTAAAGTTCACAACAGGAGGGCACAGAGCCTGCTGACTCACCTCCCTCCTCAGCTTAATTTATAGGGCTCTGGAAGTCGAGTTTCTGTCCATCCAAGTGTATCTGTACTGATGGGATTTTAATGGATTTAAACACAATCTGACTTTTCTGCATTCCCACAATAACTGCAAGCATTGTTGATCATCTCTCACATTTCCCCCATTTAGGGTTAACTCAATTTGTGACCCAACAACAGCCAAATTAGTTACAAGTGGCAAAACACCATTGTAATAGTTGAATATCTAACACGTCTAAAGAAGCAGGAGCAAATTGCATTTACATAAACACACCCAGGATTTCTCTCCCATTCCAACTGACTGTAATGGAAGCACTGATTCAGACCCTGCTTATATCTATAAGAAATGCAATGTAGTAGTGTTTTCTTAAAGGGCCAGTATAAAGCACTGCAGACTAGATGATCATAGTCTATGAAGGAGAAAAAAAAGAAGCCTTCGTCCTCCTGACTTTCAGAAAGATGCCAGCCACCCAGAGACCTGGATGGACACTCCAAACAGGAACCTAGGCTACGTCTACACTGTAGCCTTCTTCTGGAAAAGCTTATGCAAATGAATCGTGGAGTGATACGTCTACACTGTAGCCTTCTTCTGGAAAAGCTTATGCAAATGAATCGCGGAGTGAAGAACTGTGTAGATGGCTGCTTTTTGCGCAAAACCTCCCTCTAGTGCAAGAGCCGTTCTTCCTCATTTTTTCAGGAAGAACGGCTCTTGCACAAGAGGGGGGTTTTGCACAAAAAAGAGCCATCTACACAGCTCCTTTTTGCACAAAAGCCTCGTGCACAAAAATGGCTGCTAATTAATTATGCAAATGAAGTGCAGCGATATTCCACTCCACACTTCACTTGCATACACTTTTCCAGAAGAAGGCTACAGTGTAGACATAGCCCTAGAGAGAAGTGATCTGCATCTAGAGGAGGAGGGGAGAGGAGACATCCAGAGAAGCTGATGCACTGTGGAAGAAAGCTAGAAGAGTTCTATTTTGAAACAGTTCTTCTGGTTGTTTAGTGGAGTAGCATCCTAGACCTCCAATGAAGGTAGACCACACAGATGAATTTGGCAAATGGCATTTTCCAGTGAACTAAGAAAGAAACAAGTAGTGTGCATAGTTCCAGGATCATGCATAAAAGAACTTCCAAAAGAAAAAAAAGCTAGAATAGAATGGAAGGTGGAAATAGGAACGTCAAGCAAAACAAGAAGGAAGAGAGAAGAATAAGCCCTCAGAGTAAAAGCTTTCAGTTGTCTGTCCTAGAATGGTATGTGCAGAGTGACTGAATACAGCAGGGACAAAGAAGGTGAGTGAGGTAATACCTTTTATTCGACCACCTTCGGACCAATACCTCACCCACCTTGTCTCTCTAATATCCTAAGACTGACATGGCTACAACTAACTGCATACAACAGAGAATAAACCAGGAACAGGAATGCTTCTGCAAAAATGCCCTTTGCAATACACCAGAGGAAACCAGATAAACACCATTTTTTAAGTTGCTACATTCCCGTAGAGTGCAGGATGACATAGTGTTCCAGACTGTAGGAAGCTACCATACCCTGTGACGCTGCCTAATCATTGCCTAGATTTCACCCTGTTTGTCGGGCAAGAGTCACTTTCTGTGACAGACAAATGTTTCTCTTTCCTTCAGAATACCATGTGGACAACATGGTCATCGTGCCTGCAATAAACACACAAAATGATGTTGTCAGCTTGCATTGAGAAATTAAACATACTGGGTCTTAAAAGCCAGATGATAGGGAGTGTTTGTTTAGATAGCAGTCTTATTGAAAATTGGAAGCTGCCAAACAGACCCTAAAACTTTCAACATAAACAATGAAGACACTATAATAAACCTTCAAAAAGAATAAAAGTGACAGAAGCCTTGTCTTCTGCATGAATCATGTATTAATTATTGTTTCTAAGAAAGTAAACTGGCTTCATGTTGTCTTAACCAGCAACTAGAATGAGGGAGGCATTGCCAGCATTTGGTAACGGCAAATACAAAATTTTATAGGAACTATGTTCAGTAACATTATAAAAACAGTTTAATTACTGCAAGCTACAGTGGTATTCACTGTGTCAGAACTGTGAATACATTAGATTTGCTGTCTGTGTTAGCAAAGGTGAGAGTGGTAGTGCAGAAGGCTCATGTGGTGGCTGGAATTTTGGCTATTGTGCTATCTATTGCTTGGCTCAAGTGACACCAGAGGCCATCTGCACCTTGTCTATGTCAAATGCAGACTCAAGGCTCCAGGATGAAGGTAACTGAATGACCTTTCCTGGCTGTTACACTAGGGTAGTGGTTTTCAACCAGTGGTCCCCTCACCTCTGCGGGTCCACAAACAAAGATTTCCAAAGGGGTCCACATCTCCATTTGAATTTTTTTGGCACCACAAATGAAAAAGGTTGAAAATCACTGCTCTAGAGCTTTAACCAGAGGTGAGCAATAATTTTTGGTGCGGGCCACTCCAAGATTTTGGAAAGTGGTTGAGGGCCGCACTCTTCCATGATATTAATGGAGGAGGTGCGGGGTCTGGGATGGAGGCTGGGTGCAGAAAGGAGCTTGGGGTAAGTGACTGTGGTGCAGGAGGGAGACTGAGGTCTGGAAGGGAGTTTGGATGACTGTAGGACATTAGGTGGTTGTGACCTACGGTAGGGAACTGAAGTGCAGGGGTTTTGGATGTGACCTAGGGTAGGATGGGATTGTGATCTGGGACAGGAGATTGGGGTGCCAGATCTGGGAGGGGATATGGATATAAGAGGGGGACAGAGGGTTTGGGTATGTTGAGTGGGGGAGGAGGGAGGAGCAGAGAATTGAGTCAGAAAAGGGCTGGGGTGCCAGAAGCAGGCTTTGGCCAAGAGACTTACTTGCCAGCTGCCAAACTAGCCTTCCGGCCTGCAGAGCTTAAAACGTTCCAGCCAGCCTATTTGCCGGGCCATGTGTTTCACGCATAACAGCCCAGGAGAGGGGTGTGATTCTTCTTAGCTGCCTGTTACTCCAACAAGCAGCTCCCACTGGCTGGTTTCTGCCAGAAACTGGACAATGGGAATGTGCTGGGGGCGGAGCAGCTCCTAAGACTTCCCCTCCAATTTCAAAACAGAAATGGAGCCCGGTAGCTACATTTCTGTACGGTGCACGGGGCTGCGGGAGAGCCTGCCTGGGTCTCCCTGCTGCCTCTGCAGGCCAGATATGGTGGCTTGGCAGGCTGGATGCGGTCTGCGGGCTGTGTTTTGCCCAGGCCTGGCTTTAGCACTTCTTCCATACAGCACTCTAGTGGCCAATCTAGACAACTGTGCTAGTCCTCAAAAATTAACATTGGTGTCTATACATCACTACAGCTACTGGGAAATTTTAAGGAAGGGAGGCTAATGTTGACAAGGCCTTAGAGACCATAGCTACTATCCTTCCTTTAAAGTGCTGGATGAAATAGTAAAAAGTAATAATATATCGGTACTGAACGTATACCACCTTTGTTATTGCCCATTCTGTTTTTATATCAAACCCCTACAAAACCCAGCAACTCATACCAAACAAACTTTTTCCCATTTTCTGTCCTCTTTTGTCCCCTTCGCAATCCCACAAAATGCAATGGGTTGGCACAGAACTTGGCCCAGTTTCTGAAAACTAATATGTGTGCCAGTTAGTTTTAGTGGAATTCTGTTGGCTTCCCTGATTTGGGTAAATAATCTTAGGAATAATTTACTAAGACCTGAGGTGGATTCTCCATTATTAGGAATTTTAAAATCAAGACAGGAATTAAATCAGGGAAGTTCTACAACATATGTAATGCATGAGAACAGACTAGATGGTCACATTAGCCCCTTCTGGTTTTATAATCTGTTAATCTAAATAAGCAAACTGGGGATTTTTTCACAAGCCTGAATACTTTAAAAAAAAATGGCAGGTTTAGCAAGTTGCCACATTTTGGTAATCATAACTAAAGACAGCAAGTATTATTCATGCTGAGCTCATCCTTCTCAGAGTTCATCCCTCCAACCTCTCACCTAACAAGGAGCCACCACCAGTTTGCTGGGGCTAGAAGAAAAAGAATTGCCAAGATTATTTATACTTATATCGAGAAGGTGATAATTTTGAGAGTGCAATGACTAAAGTGCTCAGGGTTTCTTCCTACATAACAAATTACGATGCAACAGAAACTGGGATTTGGCAGAAATGATGGGGAATGCTTCTCCAGCATAATAGCCTAGGCTCATTTCCACAATTCATCCACCACCTTTGTTTCCAATAAAAGTAGTTATTGCTCTCACTCATTCACTCACAATTAATGACAAAGAACTGGAATGAGAGAAAGTCTGGACTTCATAAAGGGTCAGTAAATGTTTTTCAAGTTGGTTACAGAATGTGCATTCTGTTGAAAAAATTTAAATGAAAGAACATTCATAAGTCAAAGTAGCAGATACATATGCACTTCCCACATCTGACGTTTATTTGGCTATTCTCTAGAAACACATAGGTCCTACATTGTACCTTGTGAAGCTGCCACATCCCATTTGTTCTGCTTTCCTGGTAGTAGTGAGTAATGTTTTAAAGGAATCAACTCCAGTCTATCTCATGGGCTTTCCTTCATATCACAGTACTGTTGTGTAAAAGCAGAAATAGGTCTTAAAAGCAGCAGGCTTGTTACTCTGTTTTAATCATCATTTTTAACAAAATGGAATTGAGCATTATTAATGTTTTGTGTGCCTCTTCCTTCCCCACCTCATTCAAAATCTAGGTTTCTTTACTAGAGGTAGTTCACAGATCTTCTTTTTTATAAGTCTGGTAACTAAGGGTATGTCTACACTACAGCGCTAATTCGAACTAACTTAGTTCGAATTAGTTAATTTGAACTAAGCTAATTCGAACTAACGCATCCAGACTAAAAAACATGTCCACATGCTAGTGGACCCTGAACCGGGGTTAAGGATGGCCGGAAGCAGTGCTGGCAGGGCATCAGATGAGGACTTAGAGCGTGGAGATGCTGCCTCAGGCTAGCCGAGGGCTGTGCTTAAAGGGACCCGACCCCCACCCCAGACAGACAGTTCTCAGGGGTGCCCCGCTTGCAAAGCAGTCCTGGCTTGGAGCGCCCTGAGTGCCCACACTGAGTATATCACAACACTTGGCCATCAGACCGGCTGCACTTGCCGCAGGCTGCCATCTGGGGAGAGGGGGCAATTGGGGAGCTGTAGGAGAGCTTCCACCCCCAGAAGCCCACAGAGCCAGCCCAGTCCTCCCTATCGGGGGCTCATACCCCATTCCTCCCTCACCTCCTTCCACTTACCCTTCCCTAGCCCCCCTTCCTGATGTACAAAATAAAGAAAATGTGTGGTCAAAAATAGAATCTCTCTTTATTGAACAAAACTCGGGGAGACTGGGAAAAGGAGGTGGGAGAGGGGAAGAAAGAGGGTGGGAGAGGGGAGGGCAACTAAAATGATCAGAGGTTTGGAAAAGGTCCCATATGAAGAGAGGCTAAAGAGACTGGGACTTTTCAGTTTAGAAAAGAGGAGACTGAGGGGGGATAGGATAGAGGTCTATAAAAGCATGAGTGGG